TTTTAGGAAATATTGCGATAATAAGAAAAAACTTATAAGTTTATCATCTTAGACCAAATTTCAATTTCTTTTATATCCTTTTTCAAAATGGCCTTTCCTTTTTGTAGACATATATTTATAAAATAAAAATCGGTTACATTAACCATTGGATAATATTGGACAATAGTATTAGACTATTTAAAGCACCTCTCAAAACTCTTCACGCTACCCTTTGCCTGAAAGTCTGTTTTTATCGTTACCTTGATGCTTTTTGTCAGTAATTGTAATGGGCTGGACAAAGGCCGCGGCACTTGGGCCGAAACTCCCGGCCGTTTCACTAGAGAACTGACTGGACGGATCTCTCAGTTTTTTGCTCGTTTAATGATGTGTGAGCCTGGAATTTGCGAGCGGTGTCTGTGAAGTGGTCACTGGGACTGGGACTCGGGACTCGAAACTTGAGACTCGGGACTGGCATACCAATTTATAATTTCTTTTAATAAAGTTGACATTTTGCCGGGCCGATAGTGGTTTTTGTGCGTCTGCAACGAGTGGATCATGGATCATGATCACGGTTCCAGGGATGTGGCGATGTTTGTGCGATGCGAGCTTGGGTCTCCGGGCTTCAGGTGTTGGAGCTTGTCGCGCCTGGCATTTTGGCACTTTCGCAGCTCGGTTCCAAAGCCCGTACCCCTCTTCCACCTCCCCTCCCTCGAATTCCCCCAGCACACATGGCTTTCGGGATATCCTGCGGCATATGCGGGAAAAGTCACCCCGCTAAACGGTTTCCAAATGCCTTCCGCTCTCCACACACGTGTCTGTAAATTCCGCAAATATCCGTTATCCGCTTCCTTTGTCTGAGATTTATTTGTTCCATTCCCTGCCGCCTTATCAGCATGTGCAAATCTTCAAAATTTAAAAATAAAACACATCGAAAAGAATCACGAAATTTCTCCATCCCCAGTTGGAAAGTTGTGTTCCGTGCGATGCTTTGACCATATTAGCACCCAATTCGCTCGGTACATCCACACACTTTCCACCCCACGGAACTTGGCGCGTTTTATCTGTTTTCCCGCACGGGAAAAAGGATGCGATTCGCTCTAAACCAAGGCACTAAGCACTTTTACCGCTCCTGTCTCGCTGCCCAACTTTGTCAAGCGCACATAACAAAGTGTTATGCGTCTTGTAACTAACACTATGCGGCTGGACTTTGGAACAAGAGTATCCCAAAACAACCAAAAACTGGGTAGCACAGTGGAAGTGAAATGAAATAAGTTCTAGTAATTCTAGTTAAAAAACTAAGAACATTTTCAATAAATTTTCTTTATAACTTATCTTTTCAACAGTAATAGTTTTTTGGGCTTTTATTGCTTGTAAGTTTACACACACAAACACATAAACATACTTACATTTTCAATTTTCTGTCACATAATTAATTAGGTTAATTGATTTAGAATTTAGAATGATATGAATAATAAGCTTAAAAAATATTATACAACTTGGCTCTATATAACTTTTTTTTTACATATAATAGAATTTTTAAGGATAAGACTTAGTGGCCTCGTTCCAGTGTGTCACCAGCTCTACCCACCAACTTCCACGTCCCCGTATCCTTTATCCTCCTTCCCTCGGGGAGTGCGAAAAAAGTACATTTTTCAAATGCTACATTTCCCGTTGCCTGCTTTTTGGGGCGAGTGAAAGTGTGGACACTTCCCGGCTTGGCATTCCTCACCCCTTCACTTTATTTTTATAGTTTGGCCGGGCGAACCCGAAAACAACCCACCCAGCACACCATCCCCACCCCCTTTTTTGGCAGTGCGGTCGTTTTGTTTTCTGGCCCATTTGCGGGGCAAAGTTTTGCATCAAGTTGTAAATTTGGCGATTAGCACCCCTCGCCGGGCTTCGAAGTCGGAGATGGATGTGGATGTGGATGTGCAGATGGAGATGGAAACGGTCGAGGTGGAGCTGCTCTCGAGGCCGCTTCTAACAGCCGCACACAAAAGCTCCTTGACAAGATGCGCGTCGGCTGATAAGTTGCATATGGAATTAGCATAGGTTCGGACCCAGCTTCCCAGCAGCTCCCCACCAGCGACACCGGCAACATACAACATGCAGGCACAGCAGCAACATTGGCAACATGGGCAACATCGCAGCCCGGCAGCAACTCGAACGTTGAACGGCAAACGGCGAACGGGCGACGATCTTGTCGCTAGGCTTTATGAATAAAACATTTTCGGCGGCGAACGTGGTCAACAGTAGCTGCCAGTGGCACGTCCACTGGCCAACTCGGGCACTTCGACTCCGAGTCCGAGTCGCAGTTGCTACAAATGTTTTACAAGCTTTTCAGCGCTTTGCTTGGCCATTGTGCTGGTTCAGTTCCCGGAAACAATTCAGTTTAACAGAGAGACAGCAAAAAGGAGTCGGAGTTGGGCAGTTGGGCAGTTGGAGGGAAAAGTGCATCGCATATCGGACAATAAATCGTGAATGGTTTCGGCCAAACTGAATGCCGATGCCTCGATTCCGATTCACTGCGCCACTTGCATTTGCTTTATGATATGAGGCCTGTCGCTGACATTTGGCTTGGCTTTATTTATGATAACAGTTCGCTGCGAAAGGAGTCGGGGCCACATTCACTCAGCAGTTTGTCAGCATTTTGTCTTTCTATCTTGCCATCTTCCTGACCCAAAGCTGCAGGCGGCTCCACCTTTTTGAATTTTACCATTCAAAATTTTTCTCGGGCAGGAAATGAGTTTCGAATGTATTCCCTTCCTTTTCCATCTCTTTTTTTTTTTTTTTTAGGTCCAGCCGCCGGGCGTGAGTGCGGTGAGGCGTTGCCGTAATCGTGGCAAATTTGATATACTTAATGCCAAGGATGGGCGCTCTCTGGAATGAGTTGCAAATTGGTTTAACTGTGTCTGAAGCTCCTGCCGGAGTGTTATACTTACAAGCTGCCCGCAAGCAATAAAAATATGTATTTTTATGTGCTTTTTATGATTTCTCTGCTGGGATAGAACGAACCCGTTAAATGAGCCGCGAAAATAGTTTCCGTGGCCTGAAAATTTCTGGGAAAAGGTCCCATAATGTGATAAGGTGAGTGAGAATAAATATTATTACGGATTTAATTCACAGGCCGAAGATTGCCTTCAAAGTTGCAAAACGGCTTACTTGAGAGCGATTTTATGGTAGAATTTGGTGAGGAAAAAATGTGGGACAGTTAAATTTGATATACAGTAGAATCCTGTTACGAAAAATCGTCGGTCCCTTGAAAGTCGCTATAAGCGGATTCTACTGTATATAAAGAGCTTGTCAAAATAAATAATGGTACGAATTATATCAGATATGTTTATTTAAAGTCTGTTCTTTGAGTTTGTCTAACATATAAGTCGATTTGTTATTGTTTAAACATTATTGTATAGAAATTCTATAGAAACAAATCTGTAATGGTTGATTTTACATATGTATGTAAGTCGCAACTCGCCCTCCTAATGTTAAATTAATAAATAAAAGCTCTGTTCACCAACTGAAGTTAGAACTTTTTAATTTACTAAACATGTTTTGATCGATAATAATAATGAAAGATTGATTTAATCGTAAAATCAATCTTAAAACGACTGTTTAAAAACAAACTGTATATAAGATTAATTTTTGAGTTTTATTTAATTATCCTTTAATAAAATAGTTCAATTTTATGTTCAGGAGCAATATTTTTTATACTTGTTGTTTTAACTTTTAAGCATATATTAAAAATATTAAATTGAGTAGAACTAAAGTAATGACAGTCTAGGTAGTCGCCCTTAAAATCAATCCACCTGTCTCCATCGTTCAACCCCAGCCCACATAATTTTAATTAAAACCCGCGCACTCAACCATTTAGCAAAGAATGGAAATTAATTTGCAAGCGCAAACAGAAGAAACCAAGCCGAAACCCAGAACCACCGAACCAATGGCAATTGGAAACAGCCACACGGTAAAGGAATCAATCAGGCGTGGAGCCCATGGCAAATATTTCCCATTTCCAGATCCCGGAGTGCGCCACGTCTGATTAGCCCCGGCAATCGGAACTTCCGCCTGAGAATGAAAATGTTTATTAAAAAATTTTCACTTTTACATAAATTTCCCGAGCGGCTGCAGCGGCGACGGCAGCAGCAGGTAGCAGCTGGTGCCAACTGACAGCGGGGATGGCCACACCCTTCGGACTCCAATTGGAACCGCCCCCGTTTTCGGACTTATGTACTGATGGCACTACGTTTGTCTCTCTCGCACACTCCACCCATTGGATGCGTCGCTCGAACCGGTTTGTGCCCAATGCCAAGGGAGACCATTTTGGGTGGCACGAGAAGCAGGTTGTCTGTATGTGTAAATTTATATAGTACGCGTACATGGGAAACACGAACCGTTATGTACTCCACAGATCCGGGGGCTGGGTCGATTCAGCAAGTGCTCCACTCGAAGGCAGCTGCTCCTACGCTTTGTCGTTTGTCTAAATGTTTGTGTAGAGCTGCGGGAATCGACGCTCGGGTATGGACCGGGGTGGTATGCGGGTGGATGGGGAATTCCTGGTCGACAAAAGGCCCCTGGAAGGGGACTACCTTCAAGCAAGCTACATCAACTACCAGTTCCAACTACCAGATACATTGATTTCTATACCCTGTATGGGGTCGAATTGGCGGAAAAGGATTTTAGAAAGAAAAAAGGTTTTTACTATTACTGCCTAATGGATCCAAATGTTTGATTTTAATTTTACTAAAACTGGAAACTTCTATATAATCGATTTCCAGAGAAATTGTTTAAATGAATGAATGAATGAGCGAAATAATATAATAATAATCATTATTTTTAAAGCTAAAAACTAATTAAATCTGTAAAATCTCTTCACCTTTGTACTAATTACCCAATTATTCTTCAAATTTTTTAAAATAAAATGTTAAAACAAGCAGACATAAAATATTAACTTGCACATCACTTTACTTTCATTTAATTCATCCAAAAAGAACTTAAAATCACCCAGTAATGAACGCCAAAAGTCTGCTTTAAAAATATATATTTCTTTTTGCTTTGACATTGTACGAAATGGTTACAATCGATTTGGTTAAGAATATTTAAATAATAGTACGAATTTTTAGTTCCGGTTCCGGAAAATCCGGAATCATCCTAAGCTAATAAACACTATACGTCTCCGTTTTGGTCGGATTTTGGTCTATATACACGTAACATTTAAAGTTTCGCCTTTGAGCTGCTTAACCAATTGATTTTCGCATTTAAAAGTTCACAAGTTAAAAAGAAATTTACAAAAATATCAACTCATCTAGAAATTAGGAAAAACGCTTTCGAAGTAACACTTAAAATCTATAATGAATCGCCCTGAAACCGTGGATGGTCAATCCGCTCAAGCTATTTTCCTTCCCTAAGAAGCTAGAGGTTCTAGCAGTGCTAGTGATTCCTCAGTGCTTCGTTAATGACACGCAGAATTTCTATTTGCAGATCCGTAAAAGCCACCGGCTCCATCTGAGCATTACGTATCTTCATGGACACCGCTTTGAAGAACGCACCAATTTCATCATCGTCCCCAGAAGTGTGGCCATTGCTGGCGGAAAACTCCATGTGGGCGGGTTTATTGGGAGTTATGGGCGCCGAGTGATAGCGAGATGTGGAAGTCGAGCTGGGCGTCGTAGCTGTATTCTGGAAGCGAGGAGTGGTAGGCGTCTGTATTTCCAACTTTTGATATTCTCCAGTTGCCTGTAGCTGCTGATGCTCCAGGCTTGGAGCACCTTCGCTGAGCTGCTCCTGTTTGGTCATGGAATTCCCAACGTTTTGAACAGCCATGTAAACGTTTCCCTCCTCGTGGTCATAGGCCATAACATGCTGATCTTGCGGCTGAGGAGTTTGCTCCGCCGCCGTTGTGGTTTCCATCTCCTCATCCTCGTCTTCTTCCTCGTCATCTTCATGGTGCGCATCCCCATTAATGTAGGTCTCGATGTCCATGTCATTGTAGTTGGCCACACACAGTTCACTGGCCTGTTGCTGTTGTTGCTGCTGCTGCTGCTGCTCCTCTTGCTGTTGATGTTGTTGCTCAGCCTTGTGTGGTCCCGTCAAGTGAGGCAGGGCGGGCATATTAAGCTGGGAACTCGACGAAGATGACTCCAAGGCGCTCTGCTGCGTGGGCGGCGAGTGGGAATGAGCCATGTGCTCCTCCAGTTCTCTCACTCTCAGTTGCGAGTCGCTATCACTGAAAGGTTAGAAGATAGGTTAAGACACATATTCTTTGGAATATTACTTAATAAAGGCAAGTCTAAAGTATAGTTAGTTAACTTGAGGCAGTTTTTGGAAACCATGAAAAATTCTTACACCTTCAGTTGTTAACTCATAATATTCTAATCAAAACTTCAATTGATTTCTTACAGCGTCTTTTGTTGTATGTACTTTTGCAGGAAACTCAGCGAGTCGTAGTGTTTCCAACGTGAAGTGGCGTCCACGTGCATCAGTGTCCTCAAACGCTTGTGCTCGCGTGCATATTGGTCCCTTAAAGCCTTCCACTTCAGTCGGCACTGTTTCACTGAAACAGCTTAGGCGTTACTTATCTGGATTAACTCTTATAGATGGTTAACCTACCCGACTTTTTAAGCTTTCTGGCGATCTCCTCCCACACCTCCATCTTGAGCTTCGCATTGCGATAGTTCTCATTGCTGTAGTTGTAGATCATATCCTCCTGCTGAATCAGCGTGATCAGTTCCTTCTCGAAATAGCTTTCCATGTTAAGAAGGGTGTAAATGGGGTCATCGTCCTCCTCCTCGGCATTCGTCGACTGATTGTGCGCTGCTGTGGATGCGGATACTGTGGAAGCTGCTGTTGCCGCCGAGTTTGACTGGTTGGCGGCATTGACGCAGTCCACTATCTCGTTGTACAGGCTATCCACCACAGTTGTGTTGCTTGCGGTTCCGCACTGCACTATGATTGATGGAGTACCACCTCCTCCCGTATCCGTCAGGTAGTTCCAGTTGTTCTCTGGCTGCGGCTGCAATTGTTGCTGTTGCTGCTGCAACACTGCCCCAATATGACTGGCCAGGAAAGTGGGTGCGGGCTTCTTGTCGGTTGAACTGGCCGAGCTAAAGCTGCAGGTATCCAGCAGCGTGGAGGCACTAGCGTCTTCGATCTTGATGTTGCCGGACAGGTTGAGGTTCTGGCTGCTGCTGTTGCTGCTAAAGGAAGTGTTCAGGGGCAGCGAAATAGGCGTCGCTGTGGCGACGATTCCATTGGTATTCTGAGCAGATCTTCCCCTGTAACTATAAAATACCACGATAATTCCGGGTATGTTTGTATGTATGTTTCCAAATTGATATTCATGCAAAAGTTATTAATACTTTAAAGTAACATTCATTGTACTGTAGATACTAAGACTCCTACTACATATACTACTGTAAATATTTAAAAAAGTCATTCTGTAGTTTGCAATACATCCAGGAATTCGCTTCGAGTGCTTATATCTTATGGGAAATTTTCGTGACAAACTTTGTTTATATAACTTTAAGTTTATGAGTTAGAAACTTGTATTTAAAATGGAAACGGATGTATGACTATTGCTGAAATGCGAAGTTCACTTACTTTCTTGCCAGCGCATATGGACGCAGGAAGTCCAGCTCCTTGAAGTACTTCCACTTGACGGCTTTGGAACAGGCCTTGGCGCGTTTCAGCTCTCGGCAGTACTGGTCCCTCATGGCCTTCCACTTGGACTTGCACTGCACATCTGCCAAAAAATTTGACCATCATCATCGGAGGAGGAACTTCTTGACCAGCCACTCACCTGACCAACCTACATTGCTGCCGATCTCCAGCCACTTCTCGTCCTTGGTTTTGGTGCTCCGGTAGTTGGGATGCTTGGGGTTGTAGAGCGACTGCTCCTGGGAGACCAACGAGATGAGGATCAGCTCCTTGGGAATGGTGACCACATTCTCGCCGAGACTTCCGTCTATGCTGAGATTCACAAGCTGCTGCTGCGGCTGCTGGTGCTCCTGCAGCTGGTTGGCACATGGCAGCGTCTCCATGGCGGTCCCTACTTCGCGTCCATGCTGGCGCTGTGTTGATTTGGGCAATTGTTATAAATAAAAGCAGGGAAAACAAAATGAGGTGACCGAACAGCTGAGATTGGAGAGTTGTGTAATTAGAGGGACCAGATTGCGGTGAGCAAAACACCTTGGATGTCTGATGGCCACCCTGAAAAGTGCAGTGCTGAAAAGTGGATACTTTGAACAGACAAGTTGGCAGCCCTCTAACACGATTGATTTTAATTTTTGGCGCCCAAAACTCAACTTTGTATATATTTGTATTCAAGGGCTAATCCAATTAGCTAATTGCATTACCGCTAAAGGTAAAGAAAACATCATAACAAGCAGGCGAAACAATTTATTTAACACTCAGTTTATTGTGCGACGCGGTGCGGTTTGAAACTAGTAATATTCTCTTTGCAAATATTGCGACCGATTGTTTTAATTGAAGCTTAATCATGCCGAAAATTGATCCAGAAACACAGAAGCTTTACGACGAAATAAACGGCCTGGTACAAAAGTTCAAGGTGAACGACTTCTTGGAATAATAACTTCTATTTAACAATTTTACAAAAACAACAAACAACTTTAAAATGCTACAGAAATATTTTTTTCTGGCTCCTGCATTTCTTTAAAGCACTAAAAAGATTGTTAGGACTTATATTTAAATTTTAAAATAACACACATGGAGATAGTGTAAAGGTTGAAATCAAAGAACGGATACTCATCTAATAAATTTTAGTTTCTACCTAAGATATATAATGTAATATATAAATATATTATATAAAAAATCTTTTTATAGAATCCCAACCAAAAGTCAGTTGATTGGTTAACATATATTTCGAACACATTTTTACGCCAGCCGAAGAATCTTTAAACCTTTTCCTTTTTGCCCTGTAACACTTAAAAATATTCAGTGGCTGTGGAGAATTAATATTATTGTAGCTATTATGAAAATAAATCAAGAATTCTTGATATATGTTATTTTCATTCAGTGGGGTCCCAATTATATGCTTTAAGATCATCATATACAAATGTTCATTTGCGATTTTCTCCTCTATTTGTTAGGATGACCAAAAATCAAAATCAGATTGCACCTTGGCCGACAAGTGCGGCGACATGGGTGATGTGCCCAAGATTCGGTTCTCCTCGAAGAAGATCCTCAAGGGCCACATCAACAAGGTTAACTCGGTGCACTTCGCCGGGGACTCGCGTCACTGCGTCACGGGATCTTTGGATGGCAAGCTGATCATCTGGGACACCTGGACCGCCAACAAGGTGCAGATCATCCCCTTGAGATCCGCCTGGGTGATGACTGTGGCCTTCTCGCCATCGGGAAACTTCGTGGCCTGCGGAGGAATGGACAACCAGTGCACCGTGTACGATGTTAACAACCGGGATGCCTCCGGAGTGGCTAAGATGGTCAAGGAGCTGATGGGCTACGAGGGATTCCTCAGCTCATGTCGTTTCCTGGATGATGGACATCTGATCACTGGTTCGGGAGACATGAAAATGTAGGTCTTTGGAAATTTTACCGCTTAAATCAGTAAAGACCATGAATTTATGGATATTAGCTGCCATTGGGATCTGGAAAAGGGAGTCAAGACAATGGACTTCAACGGACATGCTGGTGATATCGCTGGCTTATCTCTATCGCCAGATATGAAGACCTATATCACTGGCTCCGTGGACAAAACTGCCAAGTTGTGGGACGTACGCGAAGAAGGCCACAAGCAGATGTTCTTTGGCCATGACATGGATGTGTCCTCTGTCTGCGTGAGTATATTTTTATAAATGTTTAACTGATTCAGACAAATTCACCTCAAAACCACTATGTCTTAATTAAACCACAGAACAAGAAGAAAGTATATTAGTATATATATGTAATCCAACAGAGCGGTTATAAGTGTGTAGTTTTTTCAATAGTTAGCAACAAGATAAACTTACTTTTACAAAGCGTCAATTTGAAAATTGCAAAATCTTACAAAAAGTTAAAAATAAAACACAAACAAGGTTATCATTAAAAAGGAAAAGGGAAATGAAAAAAAGGAAAGGTTGGGAACTGACATCTCCATTACATTTCCTTACAATATTTGTGAACATTTCTCCATTTGTACTGCAAGATATATGATCATTTTATCTCTCTTTAATGAACTACATTAACAACAACTACAACAATAAGTTAATAAATATGTTCTTGCTATTTCCTCTCTTTCCACTGCCCTAGTACCATCCCAGTGGCTTCGGGTTCGCCTCCTGCTCGGAGGACCAGACGGCGCGGATGTACGACCTGCGGGCGGACCAGCAAATCGGGCTGTACGAGCCGCCCCAGAAGAACACGGGCTTCACTTCGTGCGGTGGGTTCTTTGTCTTAGTCGGCGGTCCGGCCGCCTTGACTTTTGACAGGTTTTAATCTGATTTTGTGTCCCCATTAGCGCTGTCGACCAGCGGGCGCTACCTCATGTGCGGCGGAATCGAGGGCAGCGTGCACTCGTGGGACACGATGAAGCAGCGCCACACAGGTGGGTATCGGGCATGTGGTGCCCGGTATTGGGTATCCATTGCTCTGGGAATGGCTCGGAATGGGCGTACTAATGCTCAGTCTGGCACTTGACTTACATCGATTTTCGTTGTTCACTCTCCTCTTCCCTCCAGGCGCTCTGACTGGTCACGAGAACCGCATCACTTGCATCAGCCTGTGCCCCAATGGCATGTGCCTCGCCTCCACCAGTTGGGACCAGCAAGTGCGTCTGTGGCTCTAATCGGCTCTGATCTGGGCTCAATGTCGACCGAAACCGAAACCGAGGGCAACGTTAGTACGTTTGACTTTGTTGCAAATACAAAACGCGCTATTTTTACAGTGTTTTGCAAATGCAAAGGAATTTTGCTGAACTTAAAATATAGTAAATTTAACTTGCTTTAACTTGATAGACAAATTAAAACCGACCAAATTTAGATGAATTATTTTAGTTCCCTTTCAGATTTTTCTGAATTTCTTTTTATTTACGTAATTTGCATTTGCAAGCAGATCGTGCCTAAAATGTTAATAAATTATTGCTTAGCTTCAAGTAAATAGAAAGTGCAAACTGGATACGCATTAATAAAATGTACGATACAAATCCAAACCAAAGAAGTATTCAATTATTTTCACTATCAATAGAACCCACTCCAAAAAGAATGGATTAATGTATTAGTTTCCCTCATTAAAACCACATTCCATTTAAAATTTTTTTATATATTTTTTATATTTTTCTTATAAAAAATACTTATAAAATTACGAAGATGTTTGCTGCTGCGATTTTTGGCGCTTGGTTTTGTTTGTTTGTGAAAATTGTCTTTGAGCAGGTCAAAGAAGCAGCGAAGTAGGTTAAAACAAATCACTTTTAAATCAACAGAGGGGGGAAACAGATACAGAAACAGATAAAGATACAGGTATAGAGGAAAGATACAGATAGTCAGAAAAGAAAGGCAGAGAGTAGAGTTCACATAAATAACAGAAAGAGGAAAGTGGCTTAGGATCACACAAGAAGCAAGATGCAACAAATTGAGTATTTCTGCAGAGGGCTCGGCGTTTGGCAGCCGGCACAGTTTGCTGGGGCTTTCGTTGTTTAGTTTATCAGACTCTCGGTGGAACTACTGTGAGTTGTTCTCCTGTTAGGGAAGCGGGAAAGAGGACGGCGGGACTGCGCTCCTCAGACGGAGAAGCCGTCGCCGGTGGGATCGAGGATCCAGGGGTAGTTGTTGGGGCACTCCATGCAGGTGAACAGCCGCAGGGTCTCCCCGGGCAGCTCCCTGGTGGTCAGGGGGCACGCGTTGGGCAGCGAGCAGTAGGGCTGGCCCTTGACGTCGCACTTCTCCTTCCACTCCTGGAAGTCGCGCAGCGAGTTGAGCTCGGTGGGGTTCTGCATCCACTGGATCACCTGCAGGTTGGTCACGAAGAACACGTCGTTGCGGCCCAGCATCTCCTCGATGAACTTGATCAGCTCGTCGCGGTACTCCTTCTTCGACTTCAGCCACGAGGCGTGGAAGTGGAGGCCCAGCGGGGCGCGGTTGCTGTTGTAGTGGCGGTTGAAGTTGTGCCGCAGCAGGCGGGCGAACTGGTCGCCGCTGGCCACGTTCGAGCACGAGTCGACCATGTGGCAACCGGGCAGGCTCTCGTCAAAGGTGGGGTCGTCGCGGCGGTCCAGCTCGTTCATCACCATCTCCCACACGGGATGGCTTCGCGAGGGGCAGTTGTGGGCGTTGCCGTTGCACTTGTGCGGCATGCGGAAGTAGAGCGTGTACGGCCAGATGGGCACGCGGCCCAGGGAGGCGGTGATGGAGGCGTCGTACACGAAGAACTGGTCGGCCATCATCTCGAACTGCTTGTTGCCGCCGACGCGCAGGTAGGGCGCCCGCATGCCGATGATGCTGCCGTCGGTGATGTTGGCGAACCGCTCCACAATCAGGCGGGAGCCGGCCATCTCGGCCAGCCAGTCGTCGTAGCTGCCGCCCGTCCAGTAGTTGGGGTCGTCCTTGTGCGTCAGCGAGAACACGGAGATCTCGTGGCCGCGCCGGTGCAGGTCCTGCACCGCCGAGTAGTTGGTGTACTTGTGCGACACGAAGAAGGTGCCCTTGATGGAGCAGCCGTTCGGGTTCTGGCGCTGCCCGTTGAAGATGTCCTCGTACAGGTCGATGTTGTCCACGTTGACGGCGCCGTTGAAGGTGATCGTGATCATCTGGGGCACCTGCTGGGGCTCGATGCCTCCGGGGATGCGGGTTCCGTCCGCCGAGCAGAAGCAGTCGGGGAGGGCGCACTGCGTGGGGTCGCACTCGGGAGCGCGGTTGGGGTCCTCATCCACAGCTGCGGGTGGGAAAAGGTCGGGGTTATTCTATGTATCGGATATGCGGGTTGGATTAATGGAGCCTCTTCTCATTGGTAAATATAAACCGTTACTTATAAAGTAAGTGTGGTATACTAGTAATCAACTAGTAATCTTAAGGCTTGAAGATCGTTTATAATTGTTTTTTATGTTATTTTGCATTGTTATTTCAAAATAATTTACCTAGATTTTTTTTTATTTTAAATATATTAAAAAAAGGATTATGTTGTTGTCGTTTTAATCTTTTTGTAAAAATAATATTTGATAAACTTCAAAAATTTAAAACCTTTCCCTAACACGACATCATTTGCGAACTTAATAGGCTCGTAAAACATTGCCCTCTAATGTATGCTAAATATTTGAAGACAAGAAAAAATGGAAGATAAACTTACAGCAAGCGTTCTCATCGGACTCGTCCTTGCAGTCGGTCTTGCCGTTGCAGAAGAGCTCCTTGTCGAGGCACTCGCCGTCGCCGCAGGACAGCTTGCCCTCGGGACAGATGGGCTCATCCGTCTTCAGGATGGGCTTGGCCTTGCGGGGCTCTGTGGAGATACTTTTCGGTTAGTTGGAGCTCATTGGCGGGACTTGAAGGCCGGGTTAGTGACAACAAATGTCTAAATTTTGAAATGAGAAGTATTTACATGAGTGTGATGGGTTAGAACAGGCGGGGTTAGTTTCGAGTGGGGTTAGGGCTCTGTTTCCTGGAGGATCTACCAAAGTTCCGGAGTTCTAACGTGGCTAGCTACTGTATGTACAGGTGTTGGTTGTTTGGTTGGTTGGTTGCTTGTTTGCTTGGTTGGCCTTATTGGCCTTATTGGCCTTATTGGCCTGTCTGGCTACTGGTCGTCACACTTACTCTCTTTCTCGTCGCAATTGGTCACCTTGGCCTTCCAGTCGCAGGTCTGCTTGATCACGTCGAAGGCCAGACCCGAGGGACACTGAATTTCTTTCAAACCCGACTTGGTACATCTACAAAATAAAGTTCATGTTCTGATTTCGGGTTGCGTTGCTAGCTAGAGAACTTTGGCACCGATTCGGGTCGGGTCGGTTCGGATCGGATCGGGTGGGGGATTCGGGTGTTTGTTGATTATGCAATGACTCGATCGATTCGATTCGGGGCTTCCCCGGGTTTAGTGACACACACAGAGAGAGAGACAGAGACACACACACAAAGAGTGAGAGACAGATAGACACAGAGATAGAAGGCATAGAAGGCTTTGGGGTAGTAGGCGGGGGATCGAGGCTCTCGGGAAGTATATTGAGCCCGGGCATCCGCAATCCGCAGCGGATTGAACTGGGTGGCGTCACTTACTCTCGAGCACATCGCAAGACTTCACGTTCGACTTCCAATCGCAAAGTTGGCGCAGCACATCGAACGCCAGGCCGCCGGCGCAGCGAATCGACGCCAGCCGCCATCGGCCATCTTCGCCGGCACTGTCGCACCTTTCGATACCGATACAAGAAGGTGCAAGAATAGGTTTGTAGGTGTTGTGCTTCGGTGGGGGGGGCCAGACTGGCACCAGCTGTCTCAGCTGCACGATCGGACATCTTATCATACTAAATAACTCGGGGTTTGGCTTACCTGTACACCTCGCGGCAGTCGCCGTCGGTCTCCAGGCGGAAGTACTCGTCCGCGGGACGGTCGGCGCACACCTCCTCGACATCAACGCCCTCCAGTTTGTCCTGGCCATGTGCTAAAGGTGGTTAGAAAGGTATGGGTGTTATAAAGGGTCTTAATAAGGTAATTATAATTGCTATATTATAAACACATTTATTTCTAATAAATAGATTAGTATTTCTAGACTTTTAGTAGGACTCATCATCATAACATAGTAATCGATCCTAATTCAAATGATATTTTTCTAAGCAGAATTTTTACAATTAGGTTGGCTGTTTGAAGATGAGACTAAGACTCCCACATAAATGAGCATACAATTTAATTTAGCATCTCCTATTATTGGTAAATATTATTTATAAAGGAAAGAATCTGAACTCAACCAGCCCCGTGTTTTGTTCTTTAATAACAAAAAACATGGTTTACTTTAATGTTAATTTTATATTGACTTTATTTTGCAATGTTTTTCAAAACAACCGAATTGCCTAATTGCATTCTTCTTAGCCGACATGCTAACTTTGCTCAAATTGCATTCTAAATAGCGGTATTTTTATGACTACCCATTAATCTCCGCCGTCCTATGAGTTAATCTGTGGCTCGCACCACTATAATTGGCCGCACCTCATGGGTTAACTGTTAACTTACTCCCAACACAGACGACTTTCAACCGGTTTGGCCGTTTGTGTGGAAATACGAGTCAACTTCTAGCCGACCAAAACAACTCTCGGTTTTGTTCACAGCCGCTTTGTCTTCATCTCGATCGGCTGAAAACGAAAGGGCAATCGAAAGCGGGATATCCCATTTATGGGCGCAGATCCACATTTCTGGCCAGCGGGAACTGCTGGATCGGATCGGATCGGATTGGATCGGGTCGAGTTGGATGCGAGTCTATAATGTCGGCTCGTCATGTAAGGTGTCTGCCCAAACGGGTTTGTGCATTGGCTAACCGTGGTTGTTGTACTTTTTGGTTATCGGAAACCCGTTTTCGGCTTAACATTAAAATGATATTGCATAAACAACGTTGGGGAGACCGACGGAGAAAAAAACGTAAAAATAAAAAAAAAACGGAACCATTGGCAGGCGGCTGGTTTTGTTCGTTTTCCTATGCTAATTTCATTTAATGGCCAGCTCCGGTTTCGTCCTCTTGCCACAGTTTCGTTTCGTATCTCTTTTTCTCTTGTTCCGCATCTCTTACATAATTGACCGAAGGATAAGTGTGATCGATGGCATGCCGCTAATGACTCGGATCAACTCTTGTTTTTATTCATCGGCGGAGTTTTTCAAGTTTATTTGCCTTGGCCAACGACCGAGGCGAAGCCAAGTGGTTTGTTTTTACGCGTATTTTTCCTCTGCAACCTTGCGAAAAGTGGCTAGTTTTCTCCGCCAAAGGTCACTGCTTAACTCTAATTGGTAGGTACTAACTATTAGCTGCTATTGTCTCAAGTACTCACCCACTGCCAGGCAGAGGCACACAACGCTCAAAATTGACCACCAACGCGCCATAGTTGATTCCAGAGCTCTCTGCGGGCGGAATTCGAAAGGTTAGCGACACAATCACATGGAAGCCAGCACTCAAATGGGCGGTAAATACAAGGAAGACTTATGTAGGAGACTACTAACTTTTGCCCAGACTCTGAGTGGGAATGCTTGGATCGAATGGAAGTGGAGTGATCGGAGCACTCTTCCAATACACAGCCACGCTTACACTAGGTGTTGGCCACCTGCAACGAGTTCTATTTATTAAGCCGAGGTGTCTTGGACGGCTTTGGCGCCGTGGTGGGTTCGCCGGTACCCACCTCGCGGCTGCGCCGGCGCGAGAGCTTTCGAGGGGAGAAACGCGCCTGCGCGACTTGTGGATCCCATTCGGAAATGCCAAGGTACGCGGGCGTCTCTCCGATGCGATTTCTTCGATGTGTGAAGAAAGGTTAATTAGCATTTATGGGCGCAGGTGGGAGCGGGATCGGTCCGCATTTTACGACCGACTGTGCGGGGGACTTGGATTTGATTTTTTCGACTGACGACTGACTGCACCCCATGGGCTTGTTTACCCGCTAGTTAGTCATCCGCCTAGACATAAAGCAACGGCGACTGCCCATCAATCTCTTTCTGCCACTGACCCTGAATTTCGAGACTTTTGTTTGAACATCTGCGACTTCGCCATCCCGCGACACTATCAAAACTATTATACGACATCTCGATTTCGTAACTGTTTTGTTTTTCTCTTTCCGAACTCTTTTCCCCAGCACGTTTCTTGTCTAGTGGATTTTTATTTTCACCCGAACGAGCCGAGAATCCCAAAAGCCCAATCGACCGGGGGCGGAGACACCTGATGCATATTAAGGGGTTCGGCGGGCCTGGGCCTGGAAGCTTCCCAGTGCCTCTGCAGCGATTTGTATGCCGATCGCAGCTGTCGCATAAAATTCTTGTTAACGTGGCTAAGACACTAAGGGGTTATTAAACCTGCGCCGCCTCGAGGGTTCCAGCAAAAGAGAGTCTTATTTCGAGTGTCGCTGAGTCACAGCGGTTAAATTTGACTGCACTCCGAGCCGAAGATCATGAGTTTTATAATTAATGCCAAGCCAATGATGCCGTTGTTAACTGTTTTGTTATCCCCTCTCTGTTTTTCTTCTTTTTTGCACTCGCCAGTGCTGTTATGTAAAGCAGATGGGGGAGATGCAGGCGCAGCAGCGAGGAGGCGGCTCAAGGGCCACATACCGGCCAACCTACCAACTGACTGCGGCCTGTTATTCAATAAGCCATCCAAAGTGGCTAACCAAACCCGTAAGTGTGAGCAAAAAAAAAAACAGCAACAAAACGGAGCATGTTTGCGGATATGAAATGGTCGGAGACAACTCGGGGACACTTTTGTGTACGGTGGGCATGAACACACCTCGAAGCACCTTGTAACGGAGCGGGAATATAAACAGGAAAGACCAATATTTGGCCAATAAATGATGCACCGCAAACATCACAACTTTAACGGGGGCGAAATATTAAAAAATATATATGTGGGTGTTATATTTGTAAGCCACACATTGCAAAAGTTAAAGTGGTCATGTCCTTTTAAAACTTTAAACCATCTATTATTTATAATTACGGAACAAATAAGTTTTATATTAATAAGTAAATTGTGTTTTTTATTATATACTCGTATTTCTGCTCCCGAATTCTGTCAATATGAAAGTTAGTTTCGGTACGCACAAAGTTTTAATAATTTTTAAATTATTAATCTTACCTATTTTAAAAAAGAGATCACTTAAATTTAAGTAAACCTTTGTTTAAGAGAAAAATAAACAATGACTTAAAAATTGTTACATTGTTTTTATTAGAAGCGGAATATTTATAAATTTTTTTTTGATTCCTTTTTTGGTTATTTTACTAAATTTTATTTATTTAATATTAAAATTTACAAAAACTGTATCAAGCTATTTGCGTGAAATTTTTTGAAGCCTCCGAATAACATTTTATTTACTACATTTTATTTATTTAATTTTAACATTTACAAAAACTGTATCAAGCTATTTGTGTGAATTTTTTGTAGCCTCCGAATAACATTTTATTTTACTAAATTTTATTTATTTAATTTTAAAATTTACAAAAACTGTATCAAACTATTTGTGTGAATTTTTTGTAGCCTCCGAATAACATTTTATTTTACTAAATTTTAATTATTTAATTTTAAAATTTACAAAAACTGTATCAAACTACTTGTGTGAATTTTTTGTAGCCTCCGAATAACATTTACCAAGATCCAAAGATCGTGAGTGTCATAGCTGGCCAGTCGAGTGCCACTTTTGCTTTTATTTCCAGACCGCTTCACTTAGCAGCAGATCTCTTGGCGACAGAATGTCCGACGGACGGACAGAAAGCCCCAGAGCAATGCCAATTATTCGTGTTCGATCTAGAAGAAGTCGGCTGGTGGCGTGTTAATGCAATTTATTCGAGTATTTCCAGTAAGTTGTCCGTACAGCGCACTGCATAGTTATTTCCTGAACTTGAAAACGAGTTCTGACGTGTCGCAAATGAGAACATAAGTCAAATGAAAATGCAGAAAGGCCAACATGGCGTATGAGTGTTTTTGCAGCGGGTGCGCTTGCGGAGTGGAAAATTCTCGGAATCGCGACGGATCACAATTATATTTTAATTGCGATTGGCCAATTTGGGTCGGTGAAGGCTGCCAATTGGCACGAAGATGCTGCAAAAAGCTGTTCACCTTCTTCTGCGCGAAATGTCGATTGCAGCATTTTCTTAGTTACAATTAATTTCAGCGCTGCGCCGGTGATATAATCCCTCAACCACATCTCACCGAAAGGCAAAATCAGTGATTATTATTATTACTTCTTGTCTTCTTCTTGCCGTTTAATCAACTGTTAAAACTGGTTTTTCAATTAGAGTGAAAATGTTGATGATATGATGGCACCCCAAAGCGATGAGCAGATGAAGAGTGAAAATCGTTTTATTTTATCATCTTTTTTCCATGGGTTTACGGATTTACATAATTTAGTTGCCCTCGATTTTTTCGGCTTGTAGTTGTTGCCGCTGCGATTGTTATTGCCTTTGATTTGATTTAAATTTGTAAGCGTTTTAACCTTTTTCGCAGCTGTCTGTGGCGTTGGAAAGGTCGTCGATACGGGTTTACAGAGTGACTGACACACTTTTGATTTGAAAAGAGCCAAAAGACACAAGCTAAGCCAAATCAGCAACGCCCATGGGCTTTTCCACAGTCCTTCGACCAATTAACGCGAATTATTTTGCATACGAAATGAAAAGCGAAGCGTGCTTAAAGCCATCTGGCTGCATTCATTTATCTCAAATAAAGTTGTAAAATATCAATTCTTTTTTAATGGCTGACGTAGCTTAAGCATCTGTGACTTCGGATAACCTAATCAGTGTGCACTGATTTAAAATAATAATGAATTTGCATTTCAATGGATAGCTAACAATGATTTTAGCCGTTTAACAAAAGAAGAATTTAACTAAGAGCTTCTGCTTTTTAACTAGTTAACATACAAATTCCTAAAATTAATTTTATATTTGTGGCGTTTTTCTTTAAATTATTAGGAAAACGCATAATTTGTAATTAATACTAAAAGAAGTAGTGCAGAAAAAGTAAAAAACAATTTTAATAGAAAATATGAGAGCAACAAAAGTTTTAGAGTCATTGCTGTGAAAATAAAAAAAATTGAAAACAGTGATCGACCTTAGGGATTACTTTTATTAAATTTCGGTTTCAGCGAATATGAATTTTAACTAATAAAAGTGGTTCTTGAACAACAGAATATTATAATCAAATTAGTTTGGAGAAAATGTGGCTTAGATCGAAAAAGTGAAATTTGCTTTAGTGAAAAGCACGAGGCGGAATCGTTAATGAAGGAAATGGAAATGGTGGTCAAGACAATAAACCGGAGTCGGAGTTGAAGATGAGCCTGTAGACTGAAGACTGAAGACTGAAGACTGTAAAAAAGAAATGCATAACCATAAAATATACCAAAACACGAGCTGTGTTGCATAACTCCGCTCCACCCTTGCCCCCCCGGAACCTCCCTTCCGCTTCCCGCTCCGCACCTTCCGCCGGCTATATCTTCAGCTCCGATCCGTCGGGGAGCGTTTAATTTATGGCAAGCCGAGAGCATCGAAGGCCTGCAGCAAATAACGGACTTTCTTTTTAGTTTGTCTTCGGCGTATTGAAAGCAATCTGTGCAGTGTTTGCCTTTGACTTTCAATTTCCATTTCCATTTGAAAACTCATCAGCTGCGATCTGTTTTTTAACTGCTCGCAGTTTGCCATCTTCATCATTATGCAATTACTGTTGCCTCGAACCGCTCACCAATCGCCTGTCAAATCCGCGATGTCTTCTGCTGATCACCTACCAGCTGCATCGATCACACACCTGGAAGCTGCTCGGCTCACCTTGCCGCATTGACGTCACTCGAATGGCCAACCGCATACCGCTTACCGCTTACCGCTTACATATTCCAATGAGTCGATTCGCAAACGCCAGAACAAGGAAGCGTTTTCGAGAATCGAGCGTACAACTTGGCCAGTTGGGGCGTCAACTTGGCGAACAGTGGGGTAAAGTGCCTTTAAAGTGGCTGGAACTTACGAGAGTTCATAAATATTGCCTACATAAAATAAGCCAATCCATAACCGAACAAAAACCCACAGCATTAAAAATATACGATGCTTTAAGTATATGCCAATGGCTTAATATAAGTTATAGCACCCGTTTTTGTTCTCAATGAAACCGGTTCGTTGGCCACGTTACCCTATATTAAATTGTGCATATGAATTCGCGATTCCAGCAAACGGGATTAGCTAATTAATTTCTCTTCTGCATATTTTTGAGCTGACAAATTTTTAATTAAATATTTTTTGACAGACTATAAAGAAGAATTTGCCGCCAACGATATTCAAATTGAAGAAGAATTTAATTACTTTCAGAATACCTAGCAGAGTCAATGGCTTTTTCCAATCCCACTTATTAATGCAATACAAAATGTCATTAGTTTTCTCAATATTTTATTTAAGAATTAAGCGAACATCTCTTTTTTTAATATCTGAAGTAAATTAACTATCTTGTTAGTTAAAAGAACTAGTTTACTGTCCATAATTTTTATTATTCTTTAATATTTTTTTATTAATTCATTTGAAGTACGTATATTAAGATATGTATAGATAAAGAAATTATCTTGTTAGTTCGAAGAACTAGTTTGTGCCTCTAAGAACTAATTCAAATGTATTGCCCA